TAGCGGGAGTTGTTTCTTCTGAGAGAGTAAGTGGAGGCGGTTAAAAAGACATTCAAAGGTCCTTCAGCGCTTTTCGGTTTTCCTTGAGAACCTGTGGAAAGAGTTACCAAAAATATCATCGTCAGTAAAAGAGCTCAACAAAAATCCTTCATTATCTTCTTAATACCTTTTCACGAAGGTGCTCCTTGTAGGTGAGAATGCTGCCCTCCCACTTGGTGACGGTGCCATTCTCGCAGACCCAAATCTCCTGGGCGACCTAGAAAACAAGAGCAAGTTTTGTCAGTAAACATCCCCCAACTACCTCTTCAATCTCTCCTTACCTGACTAATCAGCCTAAAGTCGTGACTGACCAGGACCAGCCCACCCTCAAAGTCGTTGATCGCATCGGCCAGAGCGTCAATCGTCTCCATGTCAAGATGCTGTTGAAAAACAAAAAGATAAGCAAAATTTCTAAATCTGCAAACACCTCCCCACTCCGATAACTTACATTGGTGGGCTCATCAAGCAGCAGGAGGTGGGGCACCTGCCAGGCGAGCCAGGCAAAGACTACCCGACAGCGCTGCCCGTCACTGAGCTGTCGAATGGGACAGACCTGCTGGCGACCGGTCAGCCCGTACCGGCCGATGATCTTCCGCATCTCCTCCTTCTCCTTCACGTCGGGGAAGCACTTGAGCATGTACTCCAGCGCGCTGATGTCCAGCTCCAGCTGCTCGTGCAGGTGCTGGTGGTAGCGGGCAATCTTCAGGTGCGAGTGCACCCGAACCAGGCCGTCCGTGGGGATCAGCTCGTTGCAGATCAGCTTCAGCAGCGTCGACTTGCCGGCGCCGTTTGGCCCGACGAGGGCCAGCCGCGTGTCGAGGTCAATGCCAAACTCGAGGTTCTTGTAGATGTAGGGGGTCTTGTCGTTGTAGCGGAAGCTGACGTCCTGCACCATGATCACCGGCGGCGGAATGGAGCCGCAGGAGGGAAAGTAGAAGGAGACGTTCTTCTCCGCGGCGACCTTCTCCGTCAGGCCGGCGGCCACCATCTTGCCCAGCGTCTTCTCCTTGCTCTGCGCCTGTCTGGCGAGCTTCGCAGAGCCGTGACCGAAGCGGGCAATGTAATCCTAATGGAGGAAGAGAGAAAAAACTATAGTAAGTAAAATGGAAATCAAAAGGTAGGCGGATATTTCATCGCGAAATGGTTGCGATGAAATGGCCGAAAATCGAATCAAACGATCCACCCAAACGAAAAACACAGCTTACCTTCATGTGGGCAATCTGCGCCTGTTCCCAGTTGTAGCGCTTCATCTGGTTCTCCTGCAGCTCGTCCCGCGTCTTGATGAAGGCGTCGTAGTTGCCCGTGTACAGATTCAGCTTCTTCTTGTCCAGGTTGATGATGTTCGTGCAGACGCCGTTCATGAAGTCCTGCGAGTGGCTGATGATCACCAGGATGCGCTTGTAGTTCTTCAGCTCCTCCTCTAGCCACACCGTCGAGTCGAGGTCGAGGTGCTAAGGGGGGACAGAAGAAAGGATGGTCAGATGGTACAGAGATCATTATCGGGATTATCAGCACTACTCACATTAGTGGGCTCATCGAGCAGCAGCAGATGGGGCTTAACGAAAAGCGCCCGAGCAAGGGCGATGCGCATCCGCCAGCCACCGCTAAAGTCCATGCACTTCTTCGCCTGCATGGCCTTGGTGAAGCCGAGGCCCTTGAGGATGAAGCTGGCCTTGGCCGTCGCCTTGTCCGCCTCCAGCTCGTCCAGGCGCTCGTAGATGTCCATCAGCTGCTCCTGACTGGCGTCGTCCTGGTACTGCGCCAGCTCCTCCGCCTGCGCCTCCAGGCGGACGCGCTCCTGATCGACGTCCAGCACCGCCTCCAGGGCGGTCTTCTCCGAGGGCGGACACTCTCGGGTCAGGTGGTAGATGTCGATGTGGTCCTGTTAAGTGTGTGCAAGTGGGTACATTTAGAACAAAGATGATCGAAAAAAGATTAAACAGAAGAACCCTACCTGAACCGGAACCTCTCGACGGCCGAGTGCGGAGAGCAGCGTAGACTTTCCGCTACCGTTCGGACCGATCAGCCCGTAGCGACGACCGCAGTTGAGCTCCAGCTTGGTGTCGGTGAGAATCTCCGCGCCGTGGAAGGTGATGGAGAAGCCCTCGATCTTGATGTCCCTCGAGCGGGGGTGAATGCCCAGCACACCGGTGCAGGAGCGAGCCTCGGCGTTCAGCTGCATGTCGCGCTCCAGCTTCGCCACCAGCTCCTCCTCGTCGGTCTTGTTCAGGCCGTTGGTGCCACCGTTGGTCTTCGGCGTGGAAAAGCCATTGGTTTGCTCACCGGAAGGAGTTGCAGTTCCATTTGGCGGCGTCTGCAGCTTCTCCTCCTCCGCCGCCTCCTTCTTCGTCACGTGCTTCGTCTTGGCCATCGCCTTCTTCTTCGCATCGCGAAGTTTCTTCTGGTCGGAAGGCATTGTTGAAGAGGGTTGGCTAGAAAAGGTTGTTGGTGCAAAGTTGAATCACAAGTTTAAAGTGAGAAAGGTGCTCTGGAAAGCCACGTAGTGGAGGTGAGTACAAATACTCTAGTCTCGACTAGACTATAAAGTTCGTGGTCACCAAGGCTTCTGCGGTGAGAACTGATAGAAAAAAGTTCGGCGAGTTCGACTTTGAAATTGCTGTAATGTTCGGCAGAATAAGTGTTGGCTGGGAATTGAGCAATCAGCAAAAGAAAAGTGTGCAACCTGGCACAATTCACAAGACACACTGAGGGAAAGTGTGAGAGTCAGCTGAAAACGGCTGCAGCAGCAGCGGCAGCAGCAGAAGCAGCTGGCAAAAAAGCGGCGGCGCGGCACGTGCCCCGTGCTGCCCTCCACAGAGGACGTGCTGCACTTGGTGGTGGTCGAGCGCGTAAAAGTGCAACTTTTAAATGTTTTAGCTTTGTTTATCTCCAAACTTTTTAGATCATTTAAATGTTCAGAATGGCTTAGATAGAGATGAGAATAAATAACAGCAAGAAAAGGGTATAAAAAATAGTAAAACACTAAATCAACAAGAAAGATAACAAAAGGTCAAAGCGGTGAACGGTGACCTACATTCGGTTCTCTCTTCTCTCTCTGATGAAGAGAAACCTGACTGCAAATGACAAATTTCAGCAATGGTACCAGTCACCACTTAGCTGGCCGCCCTCGTCAGGTAGTACTTGGTGTTCTCGTAGGCGACAAAGAGCGCCCCCGTAGAAGGAAAGGTGCGCAGCAGCGTCGGCGTCAGCCCTTTATACAGGCCACGAACGCCCTCCGTCTTCACCACCTTCCTCAGGACGCTGGTCATCGACTCGGTGCTCGACTCGATTTGAATGCGTGACTTTACCACGTCAAAGGGAAAGATGGACGTCCAGAGGCACATGCCGCCGATGCCGCCGGCGATGGTGGTCTTCACCAGGCCGAGATTGTTCGGGTCGGGGTCGGCCGGGGAGACGAGCATCGACTTGGAGAGCTCGTAGCCGCCAAAGAAGAAAAAGTAGCCCGGCATCTCGCGGAACATCGTCGAGGTGAGGCCACGAAAGAGGCCGGGCACGCCTGGCGGAGAATGGGAAATATAGGTGAATAAAATAGAAACAAAAAGAACACCAAAAATAGCCTTACCCTCCGCCTTAAGAATGTCTCCCGTCAGCTTGAATGCGCCACTAAAACAGAAACAACAAAAGAACGTTAACAAAGCGTGAACATTAGTGGTGTGATGATGAAAAGAAGAAGAAGCGGCGGTGCTAAAGTGTAACCTGGAACAGCACTGTATAAAACAAAAAACAGGGCTCCGTACTTACATTGACGCCGTTCCCGTCTCTCGAAGTGCCTGCAACTTGCACTTGATCAGCTCAGTCGGACAGAGGGTGAAGGAGGAGAAGAAGGCGGCGAGGAAGCCTACAAGAAGAAGAAGGGGAAGATTTAAGACAAAAGAAAAGAGATGGACCGCACATTAGACTAAAAGAGAAGTTAGCGAAGCGTGCACGAACAACGGCACATACCCGCGGTGGCATTCTCCAGCGCATTGCAGGAGTCCTTCTGTGTGGCCGCCTGCACCAGCTTCTGGCAGAAGCCGTAGGCGCAGAAAAGGACCGAATTTTCAGCAATGTTCGCCGCCAGTGCGGGCAGTGTGCCTGCGTACAAGCCTCGGCGGATGCCGTCCTGATGATGATGACCGTCGGTGATTAAAATTACAAAAAGACTCACAACAAAAAAGAACAGCTCACCTTCGCAAGAGTCTGCCGAAAGCAGATGACCGTATTGCTGTACAGATGTGGAAAGGTCTGCATCTTCACCTTGATGGTGTCCAGCGGCTGACCGACCAGCACATTGGCAGTTCCGCCTGGAAAGATAGAAAGTGGTTTAGAAATTCGTTGAATGAATTTCAACAAAGGTACCTGCGGTTCCTGCAAGCAGATCAATCACTCCGGTCAAAGCGGGACCGACGTTCGGTGAGCTTGATGAATGGGAGGATCCGTGGGCCATTTTTTTCTGTAGCCGAAACGCTCAATGACAAGCAATGAAAATACTGAAAACAGGGAAAACAGTAGCCGACACAAGGGGCTTGTTTTTATAGCGATAACGCTTGAATTTGTAGTTGCACTTTTCGGTTCAATCACAGTGTGGGGAAAAACTTCACAGCATCTTGAAGCTCAAAGGAACAAAGTCGACGACTAGTGGTTTGTTGCAGTGCAGTTTGGGTCAGTGCGATCCTTTCCTTCAGATTTTTCGTCTGCTGCAAAGACTTGGTGACTTGATTCGACCTGCTGCTGCTGCAAAAAGCGGCAAAGATCCACAAGTTCAGATAAATAAAAATGAACTCTCTTGTTCCTCCACAACATCTGCTTGCTTACCCCACCAGCATGCTTGATCCTCTTCGCCGAGAGAGAAGAAAAGAGAGAGATTGCCTCCTGGCCAAAGTGGAAGAAGTCCTTCAGTCGTCGTCGTCGTCGCTCTATCATCATCTCATCATGCAACTCACACAACCTTATCGCAAATGCACGAGACTGGTCGTCTCTCTTTATCGCATCATGGTTGTTGCATCGCCGCCGGCTGACTGAGCTACAAAGCTGAAGAACCTTTCAGCCGACGTCACTGCTCAAAGTTGCTGAAGAAAATCAAAAATAGATACCAGATTCTCTAGTTTTTTATTCTTGGTCGCTGAAAAAAATGAAAGTTCTTTTTTTGTTTTGGTAAACAAACCCACGTGACAAACGTTCTTTTTTGGTCGCCCACCCTTCCGCAGAGGCAGTGACGGATGGCGTTTTGAATTTCGTAACCGCCTTCTACAAAAAAACAAAACTCAAGTAAAAAGAAGAATCTGGTTTGCTTTATTTGCTTTTCGAAAAGAAGAGGGGGAAAAGAAGGTTCATTTCTGTACCAACACTATATTGCTCATCATCAGCAACATCAGACCATGCTGCTTTAGGAGTGTGTTTGAAGAATGTGGTGTGTGTGTCTTTGCCAAGTAAGAGTATAACATAACAAAAGAAAAGAAAATAATTGACAAAAAACCTATGAAGAAGTTATAAAGAAGTAGAGATTGAGATTGAGAAAGAAAAAGAGAGAAAACAGATTGGCATCAGGTAAGTTTGGCTCTGTGAGTTCAGGCTTTTTAAGTCGATTTTCATCACTTTCCTTTCATCTAGTTGATCTTAGCATGATCAAGGTAGCAAGCATCTTGAGTCAACGACAACAAGAACAATAACAACAAAGGAGTTTGAAGTCACACACATTCCAAATAAGGAGAAGAAGAAGTTTGGCAAGGTTGGTGTCGTAGATGGTCGTAACGTGGTGCGCAGAGAATGTATAGCATACATTTTTGCCTCTGGTTAGAAGAACGTCGGCTGAAACCATCGGCTACTTGAAGTTAACTTGGAGTTTAGTGTGTGTGTTTGTGTCTGGGTTGTGTGTAAATCTGTGTACAAAAATACAGTCAAAAAGGAGAACGAAACAAAAGACAGAAAGAGGGCAGAGAGAGATTCAAAATGGAAAGACTGATGGTGTGTTCACGAGTTGGTGGCCAAGTTGTGTGAGTTCCGATTGAGTGTTGCAGTAGTAGTTGCAGTAGAGTATTGTTGGTGAGTAAGTATTTGTACTGGTGTGTATTGCCAAGTGGTTTGTTTGTGGGTGCCGTAGGAATCAAAGAGAGAAAAAGAACATAGTTTTGAAAGACTGGTTCTGGAATTTGCCTCCCCCACCCTTATCTCTAACATATCAGTGATCCAAAAGAGATGAGAGAAGAGTAAGAGCAAAAGAGGTTTGTTTGTTTGGTTTGGGCTTTTGGGGTGACCATGATCGTGTTGTACCGCGTTTGTAAAGGAACGCGAGTTGAACACGAGCACGGCCTGAGCAGGAGCGGTAGTAGCGAAGGTGAAGGTGAAGAAGAAGAGAGGCTAAAAAGAGGCTTCTAAAAAAAGAGAGCGGATTGTGTAGGCTTGAGTGAATGTAGAACAGAGTAGAACATAACATCATAACAACATAACATAGCAGTTCTAAATTGCGCTGAACTTCTGAGAAATGGAGGAAACTTTCAGTTGGCTTCCTACAACTGGCCAGAACAAAACAAAGGATTGAGAGTATAAGAGAGAAAAAAAATGGTGAGAACGGACGGGAACGAGTAGAGAGTGATGGTGGTGGTGATGACGGTGAAGTTGAAGGTAAAGTTGAGTCGATGAAAACAACTGGACTCCCACAAAAAATGTTTGATCCAGTGTCCGAAGAGGTTGAGAAAAGTCATCAGTTAACCAGTGTATAACAGCATTAGCAGAGCAGGGTTGTCGAGAGGGTGTGTTGACACGAAACAAAAAGCTTAACAGGTTGTACTCTTGGTGAAAAGAAGAAGAAGAAGAAGAAACGGTGGCGATGATCTCACTAGTAGAAGAAGAAGTAGTGTGGCACCAAAAAAGGTAAACGGTGGCAGAAGAAAAAGACAGAAAAGGAATGAGGGAGTTTGGAGATCACACGAGAGAAGGTGAAGAAGAAGAGAAGAAGGGGAGATTGAGTGCAAATCACGAGATCACAATGGTGGGTGGGTGGAGAAGGTGAAGGGGAGAAGATGAAGGGGAAGATGAGAGGATGAAAGAGCAGTGTAAATTGCTGATTGAAAGAACGAGGATGATGGTGATGATAGGGACCACAAAGCAACAGCAGCAGTCCTCTACAAGCCGCCCTTCTTCATCAGCTTACTGAGGTCCTCGCCGCAGTAGCCGCACTTGCTGAGGTTCTGCGTGCTGGCAAAGGAGACCATCGTCTTCTTGCCGCCCCCGCTTTTTCCATCGCCATCGACAGGCCGCTTTCCGGTGGGGCTGGTCTCCGCCCGCCCGGTGGACACCGGCCGGGCGCCGCTGTTGCTGCTGATGACGTCCATGCGACGAACGTCCTCGCGAATGATCATTCGAATGTTGCGGATGAAGGCGTTTCGGTACTCGTTTGTACTGTAGGTGTAGAAATAGAAATAGAAAAAGGTGTGAGATAAAAATGTAAACAAACTAAAATAGCTCACCTATTGCCCAGGCGAAAGATCTTCTCCGACCGCTTCCCGGCCTGCTGGTTCGACTTGAGCTGCACCAGCTCCCAGCGGAAGTCCGCCTCGTGGTCGCTGGCCGACGGGCAGGCCCGCACCTGCACCTCCGCCACGGGGATCAGCACCTGGTGGCGGATGATCTCCATGTCGGAGGTGGTGTTCGAGGAGGAGCCCTTCTTTGAGTGCTTCCCCGTGCGAATGGTCTCCTTGCAGAGGAAGACGACGCACTGCCGAAAAACGAAGCACATCGAGTGGAGGTGAATGCCGCCGCTGCTCGCCGTCGACTTACGGAAGCTCTTGCCGAGGAACTCCATCGAGTTCAGCCAGTCGACGCCGCCGTACTGCAGAAAAAAAATTGTGGTAAATTCAATGTTGAACTTCAATAAAAAATGCTTTCAACTCACGTGAATCAGCGAGATGGGCGTCAGGTCAAAGACGTAGACGC